CAGTTACACAGAGAGCATTAGCTACCGTTTCCTTAGCAGTTACTGTGTGCCCACCGCTCTGCCGAGTGCTGAACTTTTCCTTCTTCATTGAGTCATCAGAGCAGCCCTGTGAGTTATCGTGTCCACTTCACAGAATACAAAAGTAAGGTTCAGAGAGGCTGAATAACCTGCCCAAGACTGTACAGTCAAGATTTGGGCTCAGAAACATCAACTCTCCATTCTGCGCCCGCCCACTCAGCCTCCGTCAAGCATTCCTCCTCGCAGAGACCAGGCCTCTGGTTCACCTCCCCCTGGATGCTGGGAAAGGACTTATTCTGTGTCCTTCCTGCCCAAGGAAGAGCAGTTCGCCTCTTCAATGTAACTGCTACCCATTTTTGACTAGAATGAGAACGCAAGGCTGATAAGACAGCTCTAATTTTTCTCTTTCACTCTCTCTCCCACGTTTCGCACCTTCTGCACAGCAAGGGCCCTCATGCTCTGAAAGCAGATTTAGAAACATGTTGAATGGGTCCCCTCGAGTTAGAGAAGACAGCATCAACCTGGCCATGCCATTTGAGACTGATGCGTGTGCTTTAGGGAATGAATGGTCTATGCTTGAAGAAAATCCTTCAGCGTCAGTGCGGCTCCCAGCGGTTTCATATTTCAGGGACACCAAAGGCAAATAAGGGGCTAGGACAAAAGGAGAGAGAAAATGAGGATAATTTAGAGCCTTCTGTCACTGTTTAGGAGCAGGTTAGCTATTAAAGATTTTGTTCTAATGTTAAAGATTTTGAAAATGTAGTGAGTACTTCTCAGAAAATTCTCTTAGGTCCCACTGAAAATAGTAAAGAGGCAATCTGATGATTGATTCCTATAATATTAAAAAATAATAAAATATATTTACTCATTAGCAAATAAATAACTGGTTCTCTTTCAAAGGCCGACCAAGGAGCCCCGTGTGCACTTGGGTGGGTGATTTCTCTAGAGTGTTCCATGAGATGAGGAGGGGTCAGCACAGCAGGACGTAGAAGTTGGAGGTCTTACAGTCATGGCCGTGATAGCTGTCTGCTTTTATTTCTTCATTGCCCCTGCCCACCTTCTTTCATTCACTCTCTTCTTAAAGATTCATTGTATTTTGCTTTAGGTCATCATGCTTTCGTTTCTCTCTCCATGGTGATAACATCAATTAAGAAGCCTCAAGCCCTGGCTGCTATGGCTCAGTGGATTGAGTGTGGGCCTACAAACCCAAGGTCACTGGTTCAATTCCTAGTCTGGGTACATGTCTGGGTTCCGGGCCAGGTCCCCGTGGCAGGTGCGTGAGAAACAACCACACATCGATGTTTCTCTCCCTCTCTTTCTCCCTCCCATCCGCTCTGTCTAAAAGTAAATAGATAAAATCTTAAAAACACAAAAGGAGCCTCCTTGTGTTTCTCATCACTTCCCAATTTCTACTTTTCCCCTGCATTCTTCGGGTGACTTTTTCATTATGATTATCCTATATGTACTCACTCCCTCCCACCCTCCACACGCCCCGCCCCCCAGGTTAATGGAGTGTTTAACTGGTGACATACAAGATTAACCATCATTAATTAATTAATTTATTTATTTATTTATTTATTCAGTGAAGGAAACTCTTTATAAGGCTAAACAGCTAAACTTAAGGGAGCATTTGCACACCACGCTTTAAATGTGGCCCAATCAGAAAGCAATTTATAAAATATAGTCTCTGATATATGTAGGTAATTTTTTCCATTTTCTAATTTAATTTTAGTTGAGTTGCTAATATGTTCTTTTTTTTAATCAAATGATCGAAAAAAGGGAATAACTGAAAAGACTTCTTCCCACTCCTCTTCCAGACCCCACCCCCATCCCGGCTTCCTACAGGTCCTCGGTTTTTGTTTTTCATGAGTCTTCCCTGGGTCTCTTTATGATAAAATAAACTAATGAGGATCTATAGTTCTTCCACAAAAGTCAGTGTAATGAATACAAATTGATATCCACCTTGGGTTTTTTTTCTTTTTCCCTCACTTAACAATATGTCCTGGAGATCTTTCCATGTTAGTGTCGCGGGAGCTTCCCTGTTTACAGGGTCAGGGTTGCTGCATGGTGGTCCAGTGTGGAGCTGTGCCGCAGCTTACTTGACAAATCCCTGATTGGTGGATTTTTTTAATCATTTCTAGTCTTTTGCCATTAAAATAATTCTGTACTGACCTATGTAATCACGTTCACATATGGCCGTCAGAAACCTTTCCCAGGAGTAGGGTTTCTGGGCCGGAGGGAGATGCATCTGTAGTTGTGAGTGGTGGCGCCACCTCGCCTGTCCGGAGGACCGCACTTTTCCCCACTCCCACCGACAGTGTAGGGGAGGTCTCTTTGCTCGGCCACCCTTGGGCCAACACAGTGTGTTTCACACTCTTGGAATTTGAACAATGCATGGGTGTAAAAAGTGGCATCTTACTATAACTTTCCATTTGCCTCATTATGAATGAAGTTGAGAATATTTTCTGACGTTGAATGGCCATTGTATTTCTTTACTATAAACTTTTTGTACCCTTTGGTCATTTTTCCAGAAGTTTCTTTTCTCCTGGCTGTCATCTGTGATACAAGTTGCAAATAGATCTTCCCAGATAGCCATTCATTTTGTTGCCTTTATTTCATTTGATTTCATTTCATTTCTTTTGACCTTTTTGGAGAAAATTTTTAAGTACCGGGCAGCCCTGGCTTTGCGTAACATTGTGGAACTATGAAAAATTACCAGGCAACCCCGTCTTAATCAGCGGGGAAAATCACAATTGTTTCATGACTTCAAAATTTTTGTCAATACATTAAAGACTCTCTCACTAACATGGTATACATGTTACAAATGTATACCAATGTGAAGAATAAGACTAGTAATATACCTAGTCCGATGTGGCATTAGAAACACTGAGGACTAAAGGGCTTTATTTCATTGTTAAGAGCTCATCGAGAGCAGTTTGAACAGTGCTCGCGCCTTCTTTGTGTCGGACGCCTCACCATACCCCGTGAGCATCTTTTCCGTGCCTTCGCTGAAATGCCGTGCCTTCTTCAAAGTTTGGAGCAGCTGCCAGTGTTTTATTCTTTGATTTCTAATGTCATGAAATATGTCAAAGAGTTCTTATAATATGAAATTTTTCACCAGCATCCTTTCTATGGGTCATTTTTGTCCCTTTTGCCATGACACCTTCCTCTTCGTTGAGGTCAGGTTCACCTTCACTCTGGCTGCATCTGCCTCACCGCAAATGGGGGCGGCGTCAGCAGTCCCGTGGTCATCTGTTTCTTCTGTAAATCCATTGCATTGGATTCAAACTTCACTCCCACCGTTCCCACTTTTAGTTTTTTTTCTGTATTTTTTTTATTTTTTGCCAATTCCCTCATTTAATTATCCTTTGTAAAGTATCATATGAGCTTATCAGTGGGAGACAAGGAATACACCGCACGCTCTGCTGTCTGTCCATGAGTTGAATAACAGATGTGCTGTGATCAGTCACCGGTACACTTGAAAAGCAGTGACGTGATTGATCATTGATCACAATGAATAGCAATTACTCACGGACAGGTTTCTGAACTGAAGAGCTTATACTTTATGCCATTACTCACCGTTAACATACTGTGGTAACTGGAATTTGAATGTGGGTTTTGGAGGGCAAGTGTTATTAGCTAAACTGTAAGTAGCTTCAATTTGTGTGTATCAGTAACATACAAAGCAGGAACTGCCAGTACAGAAAAGTACGAAGAATAACATGACACTCACTCACCTCCGAGCTTTGACGATCATTATCGTTCCTCTATATACAGTTTAAGTGTTTTTAATAAAGGAAACGGGTCATTACAAATAAGGCTGCAGTCCTTCTTTGCCCCTCCCTTCCATTCTGTTCTCCTTTTACAACCTCCCAAGTCACAAATCATCATGGATTCAAAGCATATCCTGTATTCATTCTCTCTCTCTCTCTCTCTCTCTCTCTCTCTCTCTCTCTCTCTCTCTCTCATTTCCATGTACACATATAAAGATCTCAGTGAGAAATGTGTAGTGTTTGGGGGTGTGCTTCTAGTTGCATCATAATTGTTTTATTTTTGTCACGCTTTCCTTTGTTTCTTATGTTCTTATTTACTTCTTGCATTATAAAAATATTTTGTGCATCTCCTTTTTTGACCCTAGTTTAAAAGTTGCCTTCTATTTCATCCTATTTCTACTCAATGAGTAAAATAATTTGTATTTAAAAAAAATAAATATTTATATAGAGAGCTGACTATTACAGATAGATCTGTTAGCAGATGAATGTTGTAGAGTAAGAGTCTGCTCTCATTGAGAATTCTGGGAATTTCCCCTGTCTCTCCACAGAAATAGCCAGTGTCTAGAGAACCCTGTGTGGGTTCTGCCATATCATTCAAACTGTTTTTCTTTCTTTCTTTTTTAAATTTTAATTGTTTTTCAAGTACAGTTTTCTGCCCTTTACCCCCATCCAAACCCCCCCGTCCTCCCCCCTCCCTCTTATCTCCACCCCTCCTTGTTATTGTCCATGTGTCCTTTCTACTTGTTTCTTCAAACCCTTCCCCCCTTCCCTGAAATTCCCTCCCCTCTGGTCGGTGTCAACCTGTTCTCAATTTCAGTGTCTTTGGTTATATTTTGCTTGTTTGTTTTGTCCTAAGAACCCTGAAACACCAATCTAAAAGAACCTATGCATCCCAATGTTCATAGCAGCACAATTTATAATAGCCAAGTGCTGGAAGCAACCTAGGTGCCCATCAGTAAATGAGTAGATCAAAAAACTATGGTATATTTACACAATGGAAATCTGAAATCTTTGCAGCAGAAAGAAAGAAAGAAAGAGCTCCCACCCTTTGCAACAGCATGGATACAACTGGAAAGCATTATGCTAAGTAAAATAAGCCAGGTGGTGAAAGACAAATACCATATGATCTCACCTTTAACAGGAATCTGATCAACAAATCAAACTGTCTTTCTGATACAGCTAACAGCCATGTTCCCGTCTGTCTTCCAGATTCATTCAGGAAGTCGAGCACGCCTTGGGGCTCGGCCCAGCCAAGCAGTGCCCTCTCCGGGAGTTTCTCACTGTGTACATCAAAAACATCTTCCTCAATCAAGTTCTGGCAGAGATCAACAAGGAGATTGAAGGAGTCACGAAGACGTCGGACCCCTTGAAGATCCTAGCTAACGCTGACACCATGAAGGTGCTGGGAGTGCAGCGCCCTCTTCTACAGGTAACGATCGACCTTGAACTTACTCTGTATCAGCTGTTTCTATGGCCTTGGCAAGAGTCACAAATTAAAAAAGAAGAAGAACTACCCTCTGTTTTTTATATTTGCCAGGGACAAAACAAGATTAAATAGGCATTAGGGACATTTAGGACGAATGTAGAGCTCATGAAAATTCCTTAGGACATTTAAGGAAAAAGTGGCTAGCTTTGAACACGGGAGACAGTAAGTCTCATTAACATGCAGGCAGCTCTCTTTCTCTTCCCGGAATTTGCCCTTCGAAGGACTTACAGGTAGGAAGTCTCCCTCTGCCTCACCTCAGCCGCCAGCTGGGGCCCCTGACCCCTCTTAGGACCCACCGACTGTGAAGAGCCTGGCTAGCTCACAGTGAATTGGAACCTCCCAGCACACTGGCTTTTAAAAGTCAGATCATTTAATTCAAGGGATGATCTTGTTAATATGGAAAATTTTACTTTAACTATATAAAGAAATGGTTTCTGAGCAACAGAAATAAAATAATTTCTCAGTAGACGTGTGGAGTAATAGGCTTGAGATATTTATTTCATATCCATTTTATCCAGTGACTTGAGGGCAAATATAAAACTAGAAGAAAATAGTAGGAGTTTAAATTATGGGTATACATTAACTACTATTACCCTGTAATTGAATCTTTATGGCATTTCTTCATTTAGGAGAAAAATGTTTCTTTATTTTTTACGTAAGTTGCATGATAGGAGGCTATCTCAAAATGTGGAAGGCTTGAGCTCTTCCAAGAAACATTGTATCAATGGACGGGAGTGATAACTGTGTCCATTGCATGCCCTTGCCTGCCTTTATGTCTTTCTTGAGTTTTCCTTCTGTGTTTGTTAGAATGAATAGCAATGCTGAACCTTTCACAGAGAAGTGTCCTAGACAGGAGCATTCATTGCTTTTTTATGAGCAGACTCCCCTGTGGTGTAGAGAAATTCTGGGAATACAGACACTCGCCTCCCCCAGAACGTGAACTGTAGCGTCACCCCAAGGAACGACGTGTGAACGGGTTCATTCGGGTTGCCTCTGTGCCCGCTTTTCCTGACTGCCCTGCCCAAGTATGTCCCCTTCCCTGCTTAGTCTCCATTCTCCCCTCTCCTGCTTGTCTCCCTAACCCATTCTCCACGCCGGAATCAAACTCCATCCATGATGTCACCAAAGCTCCCTTGCCAGGTGACTCATGACCAGGTTCTCCCAATAGGAAGCACTAGCAGCGGTGGCTGGGGGTAGGGGGTGACGATGAGAAGAGAAGGGGGTTGGGTTTGTTTGTATCTCCTTCCTCCCCACTTTGGATCACGGTTCTGGCCGTGGGTGCACCCCTCCCTGAACAGTCCCGCCGGGGACCCTGCTCTGTGGCTCCGGCTCTCACGGGACTCTGGCCACACATTTCCCGGTGGTGCTTCTTTCACTGCTGCCCGCACACCTCTAAGTACCTCCTCTTCGATGTTTCTCCCTTTGAATCATCTGAATGGAGTTCTCTTTTTTGTCAGGATCCCAAATAGAGCTCCCCAGTTTGTCACTATTTTAACACCTTGGTTTTTTTTCCCCTTAACACAACTGTAAGTATTAGCTGATTTATTTTCTAACTCGCTTATATTTTGTCTTTTCCCACTGGAATGAAAGTTCCAAAAGCATCGTACAGTACCGGGCAGCAGGAAGGTACTCAATAAATAATTTTTTGAATGAATGCACACGAGCGTGGATAGTTGGAGGGGGCCTGGGTAGAGACAGCGATTAAGTTTTGAGAGTCACCGATACCTGCGGAGTCGGGGCGGGGGCAGGGGGGCGATGAGAAATGGAGAATGGCCATATGGTTACCGTCCTGTCTATCGGAACACCTTCCAGCACGTGTGACCCTGGAGTGCCGTGCTGCAGCGTTGTGCAGAGCAGCTCGGGTGTGCTCAGTGCGCTGAGTTTAGAAGACGACAAAGTGAGTGTGAGAGCTGAAGCTGCTGGCTTGTTAAACGTGGTCCTTCCCAGCTTGAGTAGCAAAGACACGTTAAAACGTGTAACTGATCGACTACACTCGGGCCACACACTGAGTTCTTGTCCGTCCCTAGGCCATCTACCGATGTGTTCGTCACGTCACTCCAACCTCGTCACCAGCCACTTGTGACATAGTACGTGTCACTATGCCTTTTGTTTCTTTCTTTGTCCCTCTTGCTTTTTAAATCAGTGACTCCACATTGAGGCTAGAGAAGAGCTCCAGCTTGACCTGTTCTCTCTCTGGCCTTGTGGAGATACAATAATTCCATGTGAGTGAGTGAACTTTGCAACGAGGTCCATTCAGGTTACTAATTTCCGAATGTGTTTTCAGAACCAAAACACCTGCCTTCTTATTTGGTTATTTTGTTGCCCTCTCTGTCTTCATAAAGTTTTTATTTTATGAGAATGCAAAATAGTTAGACTTTATCAGTAAATTTGTTTAATAGTCACAGACTTCATTAATGAGATTTCAAAGCAGATGAAGTGAAGGTTACTTTTCTTTTCGATCTTGAGCATTTCTCTTGCTTTATTATGACCGTAAACTGTTTTCTACCATAATTTCCCATGCTCAAATTTCAGTGTTTCTTATGTGTGTTTCTCTGTTACCTCGATGTTGTTATCCCCAGCTAATTGTAGGTGACTGATCTGAAGAAAAAGAAACAATTCTAAAAAATTTAAGCTGAGCTTCCAAAACAACTGTTAAGAAGGGAGTTGGAGAAATCTGTGTGCTTGCAAAAGATGCCGTACTCAGTGACATGAAGTACAAAACTTCCTTTAAGTGACTCCCTCTGCTGAACTGCCGCTCTGTGGCAGAGCAGAAGAGGTGGCTCCCTCCCCTGAGGCAGCCCAGCCACATTCCCCAGGAAAGTAGAAGGACAGCTGTGTCGCTGCTGCCGTCATTCGTGTGATGATGCGCAGATTAAGGGGTCCCAGGGTGCTTTGCCCTGCTCTCTGAAGTGGCATCTGGGCAGCACAGAGTCGGTTAGAAGGGGCCGAGGCTGTGGGCGGTAATGGACTTGCACATCGGTAATTTCACTTCCTCGGCACAGAATTCACAGAAGGGAAGGAAGTGAATAGAAAGGAAGAGATTATTCGAGCACCGTTCACAGGTGGAACAGCCGTTCGGGTGCTGACCCTAAATGGCACAGCAGCATAGTATGTGTGGCAGCGGAAGTAGTAATAACAGTAATAACAGCATTCGTAGTAGCAGATAGTAATGATGATTGCGGCTAACACGTTAATAGCATTTACTGGGAGCCAGGCACTATTCTGAATGCTTTGTGTGTTTCGACTTGTGTTTTACATATGGCAGCAGCGTTGTGAGGGTTGAAACTGGGGAGGAAATGGAGAAGCAATGAAATGAAATATGTAACTTGCCTTGGGCGTGTAGCTCGCAGGTACTAGCCCTGTAGTGCAAACGCAGGCACCCACCCAACCTGGCGTCCGGCTCTGAATGAGCTCTTCTCGAACAAAGCCCCGCCTGAGGAGCAAGCTCGTCTGCGAGCTCTTTGTGCCCCGCCAGCTATGAGGGGCGCGGAGCTTGTAAGTGAGCTTTTGGGGGCCCCCTCCCTTTAAAGCAGATTGGACATTGTCTGTTGAACCTAATAATAAAAAGAACCTAATAATAATAAAAAGGGATTTGTATTTTGTAGATCTTTGTGGTTTAAAATGTTTTTTTTCTAGTAAATCATTTCTGTTGTATTTCATGAAAGTATCAATCAACGGCAGCTTGGGGCTGGAGTATCTGGAACCTCACCGTAATTGGGGACAACTGTGTCCCTGATTCTTGTACTGTCTCCCAGAGACGTGAAAGCACAGAACCACCCGTCTCTGGCCTCAGTGCCCAGAGCACTTTCCGACAGATGGAGTAGCATGGACATTCGTTGCAGGCGGTTCTCTCCGAAATCCCCAGCTCCAAGAGCAGCGTGCTCTGTAGATTCGCACATTATTGAATAAGTGGGTGAGTGAATGAAAATGAGTAAAAATGAGTGTCCTCAGTGCAAGGACACGTGTGTGCATGTTTTCTCCTCACGGTGTAAGAGTCACAGTCTTGGGTTTAAGACTCTTGACAATGCTTAAATTCAAACATCATCCTTCTTATGCCACTAATGCTATCAGTACGAATATACCTCACGTTCTTACCATCTGAGATCCCACTTTTTTAAAAATGGCTTCTACATGTTGCAAGACAAAGCATGCCGATTCAAAATCAGGAAATCTCTTAAGAGAAATTCCTGATTTCTCCTGAGCCGGGTCTCCTGGCGTTCAGACGTGGAACTGTAGAAACCGCCAACCAGAGAGGGGGCCCTCTCATGCCTCGCACGGCCACCAGAGTCTGCAGATCACTCACTCCCCAGACACAGGGAGTGTCCACACAGTTCCCTGCTTAACCTGAATTTGGGGGTGTCATTTAAATAATTCCTGCCATCCAAGGAAAAAATGGCAGGGGGCTACTGCCTAAGATTTGTGTCTTTTAGCTGTCAAACTGCTGAAAGGGCAACTACACGCTTGAACGAAGGTGCAAGTGAAGATTTTTCCTGCCCCCTGATGGAATATGCTTTACCCTTGCCACTTAGAGAGTGGTCTGTGGACAAGAACATCAGACCTCTGGGTCAGCATCCACACTTGGGTGGCATCGCCAGCTGGTTTGCAGGCACGTTAGAGTGCAAGGGGCTCCGCCTCCTACCAGCGCAGCACAGGGTGTGGTCCAGGGGCTGTGGGCACCAGCAGCTCCTGAGCTCGGGAGAGATGCAGTCCTGAACCTCACCCCACTCTGGGCGGGGCCCAGGAACCTGTGCTCTAACCTGCCCTCTGGGCCAAGTTGATGGAGGCGACAGTTTGGGAGCACTGTGTTGCACACTACCACCACTCCCGACTGGTGGTCAGGAAACCGGAAGGGCCCTCTCGCCGACGGCTCGTAGCGTGGTGGAGAGCGGTGGTCCCTTAAAGGATGCAGCTTTGTTTCATGCAGGCCCAGGAATTGTAAAAAC